CATTAACGGAAATGAAATCCGGACAGAAAACACCGCCAAACACGACGGTTCTGAAAATTGAGAAAGGCGGAATGTGCCTTACCTTGCGTACAACAAATTCCTGAACAGTCTCTTCGGACGAAAACGGCTCCGCGTCGTCCGAAAATCAACTTTTCTCCAAAATCCCGCGACTTTCTCTCTCCTCGGCTGATATTTTCGTTTTTAATGATTTTCTCTCTCCTCAAAATGACTTGAAATCAGCTTTATAATCTTCAGATCGGCCCGGCCGATCGCCAGATCGTCCCAGGACGATCAGGCCAATCTGGATCGTCCTGGACGGTTCCCAGAACTATTCTCAGGCCGACATTTTCTACAGTGCCAATCGGCCTGGACGATGTCCTCAATCGGCCTGGACGATGCGTACAGAAAATCACCTGGAGCAAATCTGGGCACATTCTGGAGCAGAATTTTCACTGATCGTCCCAGGACGATCCAGATCGTCCTGGACGATCCTGGAGCATATTTTTTTTGATATTACACCTTCCCCATTAGATATGAATTTGCCACCAATTTCTCGGTGTGGGATGATTGGTCTTCTCAGCAACAGGACCAATTCCCCTTCGAGAAATGCCCGAGCACACACCATACGATCAAAGGATTTTTCCATTCTTCCTCGATAGATTTCTAAGTTTTATTGATCTCGTAACTTGACTTCATCGAGTGCATCGAGCTCCTATATTCTTAAACGAGCATTCTGCTCTTGAGTGAGTTCATTCTGGATTGCTACCCAGAGTGATGGTAATTCAACTTCTAGTGTCAATATTGCTTCAACTCTGAACACTAGCGAATAAGGAGTGGCTTTGGTTGGCATCTTGTAGGTTGTACGGTATACCCATAACACTTCTGCCATCTTTGTGTGTCACTCTCTTTTGTTCTTAGTAAGGATCTTTTTTAACAATTTTACCAACATCTTATTGAAGGCCTTTGCAAGGCTATTTGCCCTTGGGTTGTATATAGATGAGTACTGCCAATCGATTTTATGATGATCAATAAATTTATAGATTTTTATACTTTTGAATGTTGTACCATTATCTGAGATTACGTGATGTGGCACACCAAATCTGTAGACAATATTATGGGTAAAAAAATTAATCACATGCTCGGATGTGACCTCTCTTAATATAGCAGCCTCTGCCCACTTGGAGAAGTGGTCTTTTACTTCCAGAATAAAGCTGTGTCTTGCTGAAGACGGCGGGTCTATCATTCTGATTATATATGTACTCCAACATTCAAATGGCCAGGATGCTACTGTTGGGTGCAGCGGATTTGGAGGCTGACGTATAACATCACCGTGGATTTGACATTCGTGTCACCTCTTAGCGTGGTCGATACAATCTCTCACCATGGTCAAGTAATAGTAACCCATTCTCTTGATTTTAATGGCCATTTTAGGACTTGGCTGATGTGCTCTATAAAGTCCTTCGTGGACTTCTGCTACCACTTTATCAGCTTCCATGGTCCCTAGGCACCTTAGCCACATTTGATCAAAAACTTGTCTGTACAATGTGTCATTGACAAATGCATATCACAATGCTCTTTTTCTAATTTGTGTAGCTAGGGATTTATCCGTCAGGAGTTTGCTTTCATTAAAATAGTCAATGAAGGATTGCCTCCAATCATCTCCTTTCTCAATTTCCAAGCAATGTAACCACGACTCTGAGCATCTGTTAGTTTTACATCTCTTGACTACATGACGTTCCTCTGGTTGATTTTTAATAATGATTTGTTTATGAGGTTCAGGATCAACCAGGGTTGTATCCTGCTGGCTTGAATCTGGTATTCCCTCTGCCTGTGGGAATTGTAAGATTGCTGGCTCTAAGACTCGACGGTTATAAACTCCGATGAATATAGATTTTTCCTCAATGGTGTTTGTCATTTCCTTAGCCAATTTGGCCAGGAAATCTGCTTTTTCATTCTGTACTCGAGGAATTTAAACTATTTTAACATTCGGCATCTGCTTCAGGAGCTCAAGGGTCCGTCGGTGATAATGAGCCAACTCAACCTTGCAAATCTTGTAAATGCCCAAGACTTGATTTATCACAAGTTGAGAGTCGCCGAAGATTTGAAGATTTTAAATTTTGATGTCAATCACAATCTCCAACCCTACTATTAAAGCTTCATATTCAGCTTCATTGTTGGCCCAAGGTACAGTCAAACTGAATGAAAATCTCATTATGCTTCCTTTAGGTGGTATGAGAATAAGACCGATGCCAGCTCAGGCTCTTGCAATTTTTGGAGGTCGGGCAAGTTTAATTGATGATGCCCCATCAAAATACATTTCTTAGAATGGTAACTTTTCATTCTCCTCGATCTGCATGATTTATTCATTGGGCAGATCATCATTGAGTGAAGAGTCTGCTGGGATATGATGTGCAACAAGAAAATATATCAAGGCTTGTCCTTTCACAGCCTTTTGTGCCATATATGTGATATCAAACTGCAGTAATAGTACTGCCCACCTGGCTAGATGACATATCAACGCTAGTCTTGTCATTAAGAACTTTAGCGGATCGATCTTTGAAATCAATGTGATTCTATGAGACAGCATGTAGTGACGAAGTTTTTTAACTACAAAAATCAATAATAAATAATGCTTTTTAATAAGAGAATAATAACTTTTTGTTCCAATCAACCTCCGACTGATGTAGTAGAGCGCATTCTCTTTTCCTTCATCATTATTCTGGGCTAATAATGCTCCAAGGGACTCTTCTAGTGCTGCTATATATAATATAAGAGATTTCCCCGAAATTGGCGCTGCGAGAATGAGTGGGTTCAACAAATATCTTTTGATGCTATCAAATGCTTCCTGACAATCTGTGTCCCACTTGAAACTGACATTTTTATTCATTAATTTGGAGAATGGTTGGCACCTACCCGATAGATTCGATATGAATCGTCGAATGAAAGTCGGTTCTCCTTGTAGCGAGCGAAGCTGTCGAAGGTTCCTTGGTGGTGGCATCTCCGTGATTGCCTTAATATTATTAGGGTCAATCTCGATTCCTCAATGATGAATAACATACCCTAAGAATTTGCTAGAGGATACCCCGAAGGCGCATTTGAGGGGGTTCATCTTTAAGTTATATTTTCTGATTCTCTCAAATACACTCTGAAATCTTTAAGTGATCTATTCAGACAAGGCTTTTAATAATAAGGTCATCTACATAGCACTCGACCTTCTGATGTATTAAATCATCAAATATGTGAGTCATTGCCCGCTAGTAGGTGGCTCCATTATTCTTCAGGCCAAAGGGTATGACTGTATAGTAGAATATGCCAATGGGCGTCCTGAACGATGTATGCTTTTCATCCTTGGGTGCCATCTTGATTTGATTGTATCCTAAAGATAAATTCATAAATAAGAACATGTCGTAGTTGGACATATTGTCCACTAAGAGTTCAGATACATGGAGCGGAAAGTCATCTTTTAGACATGCTTTGTTGAGGTCCCAAAAGTCAATACAGACACGATCTGTCCATTCTTCTTCTTCATAGGGCAATCCAATCAGCATATTCCTCTTCTTGGATAAAGCCTGCCTCTATAAGCATCTTTGTTTCAGCAATCACATATTCTTCAATCTCCAACCTCATTCTCCTTGGAGCTTGCTAGATGGGTGCTACATCCTATTTGATTGCTAATATGTGAACTACTACGTCAGTGGATAAGCTAGGCATCTCAGCATATGTCCAGACAAAGTAGTCC